GCTTATGTGCCTAACTTTTCCTAGATATTTGCAGTGAATAAAAATTTTCTTGGGGCGCCTGGGTGGCTCAGTCGGTTAAGCGTCCGACTTCAGCTCAGGTCACGATCTCGTGGTCTGTGGGTTCGAGCCCTGCGTCGGGCTCTGGGCTGATGGCTCAGAGCCTGGAGCCTGCTTCTGATTCTGTGTCTCCCTCTCTCTCTGCTCCTTCCCCGTTCATGCTCTGTCTCTCTCTGTCTCAAAAATAAATAAACGTTAAAAAAATTTTTTTTTAATTAAAAAAAATTTTCTCTAAACAAAGTTTTGTTATTAAACAAATAAGCTTGATGGAGAACATTTCAATATCAGAATTTGACAAAACCAAGATGAAGCAGTTTTGTGTTTTTTGAAAAGCAGTCAGATGTTGCAATTAGATGCTGGCTCTATTTTCTATATATTGCTTTTAACCTTTTCCCAATTATAAAGAAAAAATGAACATCCATATGTAAAGTTTAAATGTTCAGTTTCAGAAATAAAAATTAAACGGCTATTTTTGTACTTTACTGAGGTAAATTAAATTCTTATTTATCCAAAGAGTGAGAGCACAAACCACAGACTAGGAAAACAATTTTTTAAAGATATATTTGACAAAGGACTATTATCCAAAATATGCAAGGAACTCTTAATATTTAGCAATAAGAAAATGGAAAACCCAATTAAAAAATGAGCAAAGACCTGAAGAGATATCTCACCCAGGAAAGTATACAATATCTTAACTTGGGCTCTTATGACAAGATACCATAGACTAGGTGGCTGAAACAACAGATAATCATTTCTCACAGTCCTTGAACTAGGGAAGTCCTAGATCATGGTGCTGGTAGGTTCATTTTCTGGTGAGAACCCTCATTCTGGCTGGCAGAATGTCACTTTCTTGCTATGTCCTTACAAGGGCAGAGAGAGAGTTTTAGTCTCTCTTCCTCTTTTTATTAAAGACACTAATCCTGTCATAGGGACCCCACCCTAAAACCCTCATCTAAACATAATTACCTCCCAAAGGCTCACCTCCAAATGCCATCATAATTGGAGGTTAGGACTTCACAGTACAAATTTTGGAAGGGATAAATTCAGTTCATACATTCCACCCTTGTGCTCCTCAAGTTCATGTTTTTCTTGTATGCAAAATATACTTTGATTCCATCCCAACAGTCCCCCAAAGTCTCAGCTCATTCCAGCATCAACTCTAACGTCTCATCTGAATATCAGTTCAGTCAGATATGGGTGACACTTCAGTTTCATTCATTCTGAGGCAAAATTTCTCTCCAACTATGAACCTATTTAACCAGATGAGAAGTTTGTGCTTCCAAAATACAGTAGAGGAACTGATAGGGCATAGACATTCTTATATGAAAGGGGAGAAAATGAGAGGAAAAAAGGGGTTACAAGTTCTAAGCACATCTTCAAAACCTAGCAAGGCAAATACCATTAGATTTTAAGGCTCAAGTGTAATCATCTGGTTTGATGCTCTGCCTTCAGGATCCACCAGGCTGTCAGTCTTGCTGCAAGGCTCTTTCTTGGCTGCTGCCATCTGGCCTGTTGAACCCTTTTTCATCTTTGAACTGAGGATGAAGTCCTGATGGTCTCTGAGTCATCTTTGGGGTAGTTCTTCCCTTGTTTTGAAGAATAATAGCACATGTTTGCAGTGAATTGGTTCTATCGATCATTCCGGTAGGATCTAAGAAGTCCCACAGCCCTCTTCATTTTGTCCCGACTCTTTCCTCTTTGGTTCAAACTGGTATCATTTCTGCTGGCGTGGCTGCTTACGTCCATGGTTCACACCCACACTAACAGCTTTACCTAGTGGTTGTTCAGCCACACCCATAGTATTCTCTTCAGTACAACATTTCTCATTTTTTGCAACGTGGATAGCCTTGAGAATCTCCCAAATCTTTTAAGTTTTGGTCCCTTTTTGCTTAACATTATTTCAGCTTCTATTCATTTCTCCCTTCTTGCATTTAACTATATGCAGTCAGGTGGAACCAGGCCACTCCTTCAACACTTTGCTTAGAAATCTTCTAACTAAATATCCAGTTTCATCTCTCACAAAATACCCTTCCACAAAACACTAGAACACAGTTTAGCCAAGTTCTCTGCCACGTCATAATAAGGATCACTTTTTTTTTTTCCATTGCCAAGTAACATGTTCCTTGTTCCTGTCTGAGACCTCATCAGAATGGCTTTTACCATCTATTATTTTGACCAGTATTCTGTTCATGATTATTTATGCATTCTCTTAGAGGATGGTAGCTTTCTTTCTGACTCTTCAGATTTCTTTCTGAGGTCTCAGCAGAATTACTCTTAATGTCTATATTCTTAGCATCGATCTCCAGTTTCTTGCAGCCTCTACCCTTTATACAGGTCCAAAGCCACTTCTTTCTTTGTAGGTATTTGTTATAGCAGCACCCCACCTTTCAGTACCAAACTCTGTTTTAGCTTGGACTGCTGCAAAAACAAACAAATAAAAATAAACCAAAACCCAAAAAAACAAACAAAAAACACAGACCAGGTGGCTTAACCAACAGACATTAATTTCTTATGGTTTTGGAGTCTGGGGAGTCTAAGATCAAGGTACTGGTAGATTCAGTTCCTCGTTAGGACCCTCTTCCTGACTTTGCAGATGCTGCCTTTTCAATTTGTTCTTACAGGAGAGAGAGAGAAAGAGAGCTCTGGTCTCTGCGTATAAGGACACTAATCCCATCATGGGGGCCCTACTTTCATGACATCATCTAAACCTGATTATCTTCCAGTGGTCCCACCTCCAAATATAATCACATTTAAAATTAGTGCCTCAACATGTGAATTATGGGAGGATATATTTTGTCCTTAATGTACAGATGGCAAGTAGTATATGAAAGATAACATAACATCATTAGGGAATTGTAAATTAAAACGAGATACCACTGTACACCTAATAGAATGGTGAAAATCCAAAAAATTGACAGCAGCACATGCTGGCAAGAATGTGGAGCAACAGGAACTCATTCACAGCTGGTGGGAATGCAAAATAATACAGATAGTTTGGCAGTCTTACAAAATGGAGTGTGCTCTTACCTTACAATCCAGCATCCCTACTCTGTTACTTACTCAAGTTGGCTGAAAACATAGGTTTACACAAAACCTGCACAAGGATGTTTATAGTAGATTTACTCATAATTGCCTAAACTTGGGGTGTCCTTTAGTCGGTGAATGGATAAATAATCTGTGGTGCATCCAGAAAATTGAATAATGTTCAAAACTAAGAAGAAATGTGCTGTTGAGCCATGAAAAGACATGGAGTAACCTTAAATGCATATTAAGTGAAAGGGGCCAATCCGAAAAGGTTACATACTGTGTGATTACAACTGTACGACATTCTGGAAAAGGCAAAACTGCGAAGACAGTAAAAAGATCAGCGGTTGCCAGTGGTTAGGGGAAGGAGGGGTGTATAGGTAGAGTACAGAGGATTCAACTCTGACACTAACCATTGTGAGCTAGCATCAAACTCCACAGGTGTAAGGGCATGGTTCTCAACAAAACCGCCACCACTTTAGACACCAGCTGCAAGTCAGGTCCCCAGGCTACCCACACTTCTGGTTAACTAGCACAAATCCGGGGGTTTCCTAAGACCTCCCCTCCCAACACACACACACACACACACACACACACACACACACACACACACACACAACTGTCCTTATGATGTCAGTTGCAAGTTTAGAGGTCTCCAGGCCATATGCACTTGACTATAAATCTGGGGTTCTTATGACCCTTCTCAGATTCAATAATTTGTCTGAATGACTCAATTTGAGAAAAGTGCTATACTTAGGATTGCACTCTTACTGTAAACAACATAAATTAGGGCTAGCTAAATGAAGACACATTGGTTGAGGTCTGGGACGATCCTGAAAGAAGAATCTTTTGCCTTTCTATGGAATCAGGGCACATCACACTCTCTTGGCACATCAGTGGTTAACCAACCAGGAAGCTCCCCTGTGCTTCCATTTCCAGAGTTTTTATTGACATTTCATGGCCAGGCATGATTGATTAAACATTAGCCCACATGATTGAACTAAATTGCTATCCTTCTCCCTCTTTCCAGAGGTCGGGCTGGGCCAAAGTCCCTAACCACATACAGTCTTTCTGGTGACCAGCCCCCATCTTGAGCCATCTCTTTAGCACAAACTCTAGTGTGTGAATCAAGAGGCTTATCAAAAACAAGTATACTCCTGTCATTCAGGAAATTCCAAGGGTTTTAGAAGCTCCCTGCCAGAAAACCAGGACACAGACAACACAAATTCTTTATTTTACAACACCAAGTTTTTTTGTTTTTGTTTTTTTTTTTTGAAAATGTACCATGGAAAGCTGAGGTGACTGAAAAGTATTGAAGATGGGAAGATTTGAGAGCAATGATTGGCTTACTGATCTCTGTATCAGTTTGGTATTTTAATTGTTTAGACTTTATATAGCAGTGTAAATCTTTATACATCATGTAGTTAGAATTTTATATCTGGGACGCCTGGGTAGCTCGGTCAGTTGAGCGTCCGACTTTGGCTCAGGTCATGATCTCTCCTCTTGTGAGTTCAAACCCCATATCAGGCTCTGCACTGACATTCTGGAGCCTGTTTCAGATTCTGTGTCTCCCTCTCTCTCTGCCTCTCCTCCACTCATTCTCTTTCTCTCTCTCTCTCAAAAATAAATAAACATTAAAAAAATTTTTTTAAAGAATTTTGTATCTGATTTTATGTAGAACTATATTTCTCTTGGTAAAAAGGAGAGATGAATTTAGGAAAGATGAGCCAGTAGAATAATACAGGACTCTTTCCAGTTTTTATTACCTTACTTTGTCAATATAAACAGATACCTTAAAAACAACTTTTTTCTCTACTATAAGTTGTTTCATTGGACTCATTTTTCCTTTGAATAGCAATTTATTTCAGAGTGTATCCACTTTCTTCAAGGGAGTGCTTACCTACATTTTTCTCTTACAGATTGATTATACCGGAACAGACCCTTCCAGTCCCTGCAATAAATGTTTGTCTCCGAATGTGACACCTTGTATTTGTACCATTAACTTCACACTGGAACAGTCATTTGAGGTCAGTATTCCCAATGTGTTAGAAAAGCCTGCTTTAAAAAATACTTCATTAAAAATTTTTTACTAGTTATTTCATTTTTTTGTAATCACTTAAATTTTTTCAAGTGCATACACTTTTGAGCAAGATTGCTTTGTTTGGCTGTTGCATTATGCTCTCTAGTAATTAAATACATGTATTTATTTAAGTAGTTTAGTTAGTACTTTATAAACTAAATTTAAAATTTTTATCTTTTCCCTGGAAAATTTTATTACTATACAATCAAGGCTTTATCATGTTTATATCAAATAGTTTAACCTACTTTTAATTCTAAAGCAAGTTTTACTTTAGAACATTTACTAATTCATTCATCATTTAATTGTATTATTTTGTATCCGATATGAATAACCATAAATGCAAACAATTAGTGAAACCTTATTGATCTTTTATGTCTTGATAAGCAGTTAGAACACTGTGTGTGTGTGTGTGTGTGTGTGTGTGTGTGTGTGT